AACTACCTTTTCAAGAATTTTGGAAAGAAAAGGTAGTTTGGAGATAGGCCTGTAATTTGCAAGAACCATAGGATCAAGAGCAGGTTTTTTAATCAGGGGTTTGACTACTGCATGTTTAAAATCTTTAGGGACAACACCTGACATCAGACTATGGTTTACCAGCTCAAGCACCAAAGGACCAACTGTAGGTAACACCTCTTTTTGACTTACCTCAGTAAGTCACATGACAGGGTGTGAGTGGGCGTTAAGGCGTCTGGGAAGGATCCCATCCTCTCTGTGAGAGGATACAGAGCTGCTCTGCTAACAGCACTGCCATACACCTCGTGGAGGGCTATGGAGCGTGATCCCTGAAGATGGAGCACGTCCTCTGTTGAGGGACCAGATCTGCCCCACCCTGGCCCTGGATCAGGGAGGGGCAGAGGATTATCTGGATTATAGATGAATATTATTTGCTATTGATATCTATTGACAGTGTATTGATTTGTCCAGGAGCTGCCCTCTGATCCCATATTTATCATCATCAGCATCATGTGATTTTCTGAAGGTCAGTAAACGCCACACAGCAGATCCTCCAGTTTTCACTGCATTTAATTTAAAAAAGATCTTTGTTTACATAAATATATAAATACATAAATACTCTGAATAAATAAATAAATAGAGAGGGGAACATCAGAGACAGTCTTCAGATATTGTGTCAGTGTTGCGTTGCTGTTGCGTTGCTGCAGAGCGCCTCCTGCTGGCAGCAGCAGGAACTCTGATGGAGGCCACGAGCAGCTCCAGCTGTTCCAGGCGCAGTTTGGTTTCCTTCCTGAGCAGCTGCCATGACGCAGTACTGCAGCCCTGTACACACAGTACTACACTTATTACCACTGTCACTACACACAATAATACAACGAGTACTACAGTACTTGTACTTACAGAGCAAGACAGAGTACTGTTGGCCAGAGTCCTGTAGTAGCTCCTCAGTCTGCTGTTGGCTGGACTGTTGGTCGAAACCTGGAGACAAAGAACAGTTCAGACTGAGGCTCGGAAAGGAGGTGAAGTGTTGGTGTGGGAGGAGGTGAAAGGAGGTGAAGCACTGATGAAGAGGAGGCTCTGGGAGGAGGTGAAGGAGAGTGGGTGTGGGTGCATGTTTGCTCCTGTGAGTAGGCTGAAAGCAGTGAAGTGGGCGTGTCCACTCACACACGCGCTCAGTTCCATGATCTGTCTGTGGATGACCGTCAGGAAGCCCTCCGTCTTGTCGGCGCCCCAGGGAGCGGCTGACAGGTTGTCATGGCGATACAGACAGAAAATAAGCTGCAGACTGTCTCTGATGAAAACCAGCTTTGAGTCCACCTGAAGAGAGAGAGAGAGAGGTGAGCTGCAGGCGTCTGATTGACAAACAGATGTGATGTCATCGATGTAGTCATGTGACCTACCTCAGAGTTTTTTATTTGCTTGTAGAGATGTTTTGGGAATCGAACCGGATGAACTGAAGAGTGCTGTTCAGTCAGCTGATCGCCCTGAAACAGAGAGACAGCGCTTCATTTCACCACATCACTCTGAGCTGTTGCCAATCGTGACGTGTTGTTGACGTCCCCACATTCAGTCTACACACTAAACATGTGACCTGTGATGTTTACAAATGTCCTACAGGCTCTGAATGCATCGTTTTAGCTGTCAGTAAACTTTGTGTTGAATATTCATCACATCTGCAGACGAAGGTCTTATTTCAGTCAGGTTTCAGAGCCCATCACAGGACAGAAACACAACATCTCTAAAGTTAGAAATATCCTGTCTCAGAGTGACGCAGAAAAACTAGTTCATGCATTTATTACTTCCAGGCTGGACGACTGTAATTCATTATTATCAGGAAGTCCTAAAAACTCCCTCACTCACCCCAACCAATCACAGCAGATGGCCCCGCCCCTCCCTGAGCCTGGTTCTGCCGGAGGTTTCTTCCTGTTAAAAGGGAGTTTTTCCTTCCCACTGTCGCCAAAGTGCTGCTCATAGGGGGTCGTATGCTTGTTGGGTTTTTCTCTGTATGTATTATTGTAGGGTCGACCTTACAATGTAATGCACCTTGAAGTGCCTCTTGTTGTGATTTGTAGCTGTATTAATAAAATTGAATTGTATGTAAACGTGTCACATCATGAAGAATCACTGAGAGTCTCTAACTTAAGTTCAAAAACCCTGAAAATCCTCTTATACAGAATCTCTTTATGTATTCACACAATATGTTTATGCAGTCCTGGAATATCATTAAAGTCCTGGAAACATGTTTGAAAAAACCAAGCAGTGTTTTTAATGTCCTGGAATGTTTTAAAGACCAATTTAAGGACCTGTACTCACCATGCGAGTGAGGAAGCCTCGGGCTTCTTCCATCGGTGCTTTGTAGTGTGTGAGCCAATCACAGCAGAGGGCAGAGGTCAGGGTGCCACAGAGAATGAAGAGCAGACCGGTCCAGGTGACCATGATGAAGATGATGAAGATGCTGTGCGGTGCTGAGAGTGCGTGTCCATGCTGCCAGCAGAGATCAGGCTTTTATTTTACAAACAGGAAACAGAAAACATAACAAAAATTCCGTGTTTCAGTTTTCAGACAGAAGCTGTGAAAGTATGGGCTCATAATGTGGTCATAAATAGTTTGTACTTGTAAATCAGTTTTGTATGTGTAAAAAGAATTACTTAGCCAAAAAAATACGTGTGAAACTCTGCACTCAAGTTTCAAGTAACAAGTATAAATTTTGACCCTGTTTTTCTTCCTTTCATCTGATTGGTCAATGTCATGTCAATCACAAATTTAACTATCCAATCAGAGAACAGATGGGTTTGGCTGTCGGAGGGGCGCTTTTTTGAACTGCAGGTCCTTGAAGGGTAATACAGTTTGAAGCTGGAGGACCTCTATATAAATATAAATAGAAGCTAGGTCCCCTAACTTTCAGTAGCTGTTGAAAGGATAAAGTTGTGGTACATCAGTGGTTAGAAACACATTATTACTTTAGGTTTAATTTAGCACAAAGTCAGGGCTGACCCGGGACCATTGCTGTGAGTCACAGTGCGCAGCATAAAGGTCCTTTCACATCGGACGCAGGATGTGCTGCTAATGCTAACTGCTAACTAAAAGCCAAGGATCCAGAATTTGCTGCTGGCTGCTGGGCTCTGTGTGTTTTTGCAGCAGCTCTACCTGCACTAGATGCACCTGCTCCTTGTCTTTTCTATCTCTGACTTTATGTCCTCTACAAGAGTTTCTGTTTTTTTTTGCTGGTTCTTCAAATGTTCAATAAAAACATGTATGCTAATTCATAATGAAGAAATCTTTGTAACCATCCCCACTAGTAAAGACTGTCATTTCCACAATACTGCCCCGCCCCCCGCCCTAGGTCCGTAGCGCTGTTGAAAAGGCTTTGGAGGTCCCTGTATTAAGCATGTAAACCTGTGACACATAAATCACCAAACTCAGACGACCACAGACTGTTTTCCTTCGTGATGAAGGAAGACGCTGGGCTGGCATGTATAAGGGCATTTATTCTCTTCTAGGACCTGAAGCTCCATAAAGCACACCTCCAATAGCCAAACCCACCTGTTCTTTGATTGGATAGTTAAATTTGTGATTGACATGACATTGGCCAATGAGATGAAATGAAGAAAAACAGGGTCAATATTCGTACTTGTAACTTGAAACTTGAGTGCAGAGTTTCACACGTATTTTTTGACTAAATCCCCACACAAATCTAATTACACACACAAATTCGATTTACAAGTACAAAATATTTATGACCACAATTTGAGCCCATATGAAAGGGCGGGCTTTCAGAGTCTCATCTCTTTAATCAGGATAAATGTTGTCACACACACTTCAACTGCTTTGATCTGAACCTGAGCTGGGTTTTAACACCTGTCTGCAGGTAAAAGTCCCCACTCTGTAATTTACAAATGTCCCGAGGGGACTGAATGCATTAATTATTTGTAACGTTTATTTATTCATTTATTTATTCGTTTCTAAATCAGAGGTTTTATATTCATGGATACAAGTTTGTGTTTAATCTGCGTGTTTAGGCTCTTATATTCAAGGACCCTGGAAATCCTCTAGAGGACCCTCACCCTCACAGTCCTGGGATATTCTTAAGCACCCTGGAAAGTCTTGAAGTGTCCATCTTCGTGAGCTGTGATTGGTCAGATGTGTGTGTTCTGTCTTATTAACGTGATCAGTTCATTGATCTCAGGCTGATCGATCACTGATTGATCGATCAGCTGTGTATTGGTAGAGGAATGACAGCATTTGGGTGGAATTCGCTCGCTTTCATTTTCCACACTGACAGGAAGCAGCAGCATTTCACAATAAAAGCTGTTTGTGTGTGCGGTTCACTGTTTCCTATAAATAAACTCTTTAACTCTTTACTCTTTATTGTCATTGCACAGTCATACATAGTACATAGTACAATGAGATTGGAAAACTGTCCTACGTCGGCACTACATATAACACAACACGATACGACACATCACAACGCAACACAAACAATACAACACAGTATATTAACTAAGTAATAAAAAAAGAAGAAGAAGTGTATGTGTATTGCACACTGTTATTATTACACATTAATTATTATTGCACCTTGTTATAAACATAAATATTATTATTGTTATTGTATTAAACATTGTTACCTCCCCCCTAAAAAAGTCCAGGGAGGTATCCAGTCAGGTCAGCTATTTGCATTGATCAGGGCTATTGCCCTGTTGTAACAGCTGTCCTTGAGTCTGTTTGTTTGGGACCTCAGCAGCCTGAACCTCCTGCCAGACGGCAGCAGCTTAAACACCCGGTGACTGGGTGTGTGCAGTCCCGGAGGATGCTGCGTGCCCCCTTGAGACAGCGAGAGCTGTACAGGTCCTTCAGGGAGGGAAGAGGATGTCCAATGATTTTTTGGGCCGTATTAATGACCCTCTGGAGTGCCTTTCTCTGTGCTGTGGTGCAGCTGGAGAACCACACACTGATGCAATATGTCAGCACACTTTCAATGGAGCAGCGGTAGAAGACGGTCAGCAGCTCCTTCTTCAGGTCCATTTTTCTGAGGATTCTCAGAAAGTGGAGACGCTGTTGGGCCTTCTTTAAAACCGCAGAGGTGGTAGAGCTCCATTGGAGGTCTGTGTCTATGTGCACACCCAGAAACTTGAATCTGGAGACCCTTTCCACGCTCTCGCCGTTGATGCAGACAGGCTGCGGCTCGGACTTCCAAATAAAGATTTGTAGATGTCTGTGTATTTTATAATCGATGTTTGAGTTTCTGCACTTACTGTTGTGAACCTTCTGCTTCCCTTTTTGAGTTTTTTCATGCAGTCTTTATTCAAACCTTACCTGAAAACCATCATGCTTTTATTTTGGTTTGCAGTTTTGTTTTCTGCTAACACCCAGCTGACGTCATCGTCGTTTTCGCTTTCGGGTGTGCAGGAAACTCTCAGTGACGTCACACCGGGTGAGCTCACTGATGAGGCAAGAAAGAAACTCGGAAATAAAACTTTATTAACACAGCAGAGTGGCGACAGACACGTGCGCTCATCCCGATACTCCTTACTTCCGGTCTCAGCAGACAAAAAAAGCTTCATTGAACAATCTCTCCACGATAATCACTATGACAACACAGCAGACGTAAATAGAAAAGCAGAGACAGGATTGTTAAATAACAGCCGTGAGACTCGTGACGAACAACATTAAAATGACGCCAAACTGATTTCCAGAACTTTCCCCAGATTCCTCAGAGGAGTCAGGCCCGGCAGAGGGTGGACTTCAGTGATTGGTTTTGTAGGAGAACGCTCTGATTCGTCGAACATTGTCGCTCTGTCCCCTGATTGGTTGCCGTGGCAGGCACCGCCTCTCAGCGGAAGCGCGCTCCTCTCGCGACCCCGCTGAGCGCGTTATCAGTCCAGGGGAGCGGCACACGTGCGGCCGGGATGGAGGCGGAGGTCGTGGACTTCCGGGTTCCCGTGGAGAGCAATAAGACGGTGCTGGTGTGGGACATCCCGCCGACCCACGGCGAGGCACACATCCACGTGAGTGCACACACGGTGACGTCAGTTTGTATTAAATGGTGACGGTCTGTCTTGAGCTGCTGGTGTAAAATGAGTGGATGTGACATAAGAGCTGCAGGTGAGTGAGGCAGGAGTCGTTAGTGGGAAGCGCGTGCTGAATTCAGGTCACATCACAGCATTTCATTTCAGTGATGTCACTGCCCACCGACCAATCAGATCTCCATTCCTGAACATCCCTCAGAGCGCTGTGTGCGAACAGTGTGTCACATCTCTGTTTTCCTGCTGAGCATCAGTAATCACAGTCAGGTGGATTATTATCGTTGTGTTGTACGCATGTATATCTGGACATGCTGACCCCAGATCAGATTGATGTGTTCATATTTAACCTCAGATCCTGAAACAGAGTCAAACAGGTGGTGGTCAGAGTGACGGAGAGCGCAGAGCACACGCCTGCTCGACCAATCACGTCCATCCACTCTGCTCTGATTCCCACGTCTCCTTCATCAGGCTGTGGGACAGGAAGTTTCACGTTTCCATGGATACAGCCTTACTGTGCAGCCGTGAAGCCAGAAACCAGTTTCTGCTGCTTCAGAACATTTCCTGTCAGATTTCTAGTCACCGTCTGATAACACCTCTGAGGTTTGTGGCACTCTCAGAATCAAGTTCTGTGGAAGTCACATGACCCACCAAAGGCCCCTTTATAGACTGCCCCGCCCCTTTGACGTGATCGTGCTGGTTAAACTGTGAGCTAACAGCGAAGTGATAACGTGAGCTCCATGTTGGGATTAGTGAATGAAGATAACAGCGATACCCTGGCTACTCGCTGAATACTTCTGATACTAAATCTATCAGAAGGAAACAGCGGCCTGTTTGTCATGATGATGATGATGATGAAGGCCAATGAAGACTGTCCACCTAAACACAGATGCAGGACAGGGGCGCTGCTAGGATCCTGAAGCCCTGGGGGCTTAGCCCAGCCCTGAAATATGTTTGGGTTTTACTTGATAACAGCAACTTTTTAACAGTCATGACTACAGTAACAGATGAGTGTGATGAAGCGTTCGTCTGTGAGACGGGATGCTGACGGTACGTAGGCGAGTTTAACAGCGTTCCCTGCTCCGCCTCAGAGCCTCTGCTTTTCACTGCTGCTGATCATCTTCTTCTTCACGCTCGGGTCTTCTTCACCAGCCTGCTGCACTCTTCACCTCCTCGGCTCTCTCCTGTCCTCTTATGAGAACAATGTAAACAGTCATCAGAGTCAGCACTGAACACCAGCTGAGGACCCGCCCTCTGCTGCTCTCCAACCAATTACATCTGTCTACACAGTCACATGTCTTCCTCCTTACTTGATCGCTGTTTTCTATTGCACTATTTTATTTTTAGAGCACTTTAATAATCACTCTGTTGATGTCACTGCACTTTATTTCGTACAAACTGTCCCATGCAGTGTTCTGAGATGTCCACTAGATGGCACCAGTCCTCTGTGAACATGGAGCGTCAGTTACCATCAGTACCAGCGCTGACACACCGTATTATCAAGGTTACTGCAGTAATACTGTGTACACATGCAGTATACTTCGTTTAAAAGGCTTCAGTGTTGCAGTAGCTGATACTGCATGGATATAAAACCTGAGAACTTTCACTGTGTCATCACAGCATCCCCCGTAACCACGGTTACACACCATCCTGCAGCCTGTGCTCAATCTGAGCAGCTGCCTGATATTGTGTGTGTGTGTGTGTGTGTCAGGCCCAGCTGCATGCTGTCTTCTCGTCCTTCGGTCCTGTGTACCTGTTGAAGGTGAGCCCTAACGCTCCGCTCCACCCTCCTGGTTTTTACGCCCTCATCAAGTTCTTCTCTGCGGCTCACGCCGCTGCAGCTCAGCGCATCACAGACGGACGCCCGCTGCTTGACGACTTGCCGCTGAAGGTGACGACATTTTCTTCGTCTTTGATGACCTTTGTGTGTTTTCCTGGAGCTCACCTGGCCATATTTGTGGGTTTTAGGTGAAGTTGAGCTCCAAGCAGACGCCTCACTTCCTGTCTGGCAGCAGCAGAGTTCTGAGCCATGCACACTGTCTGGAACTGGCCAATCACGTCCTGGGATTCAACGGCTGGACCTCTGACATCATCACAGTAAGCACTGCATCGATATATTCAGGTGAGCGAGTGAGAGTGCAGGTGACTCACTGTCTGTCTGCTTCAGCTGAAGAAGCTCACCAACGAAGAAGAAGGCGAGGAGGAGGAGGGGGGAGGGGCCGGGCAGAGGAGGCTGAAGTTCGGCTGCGTGCTGCAGCTCCGCTTCCCTCATCACGGACAGACGAGCAGAGGAGCTGCGGTGCTGGCGGACTGCTTCACCTGCACAGGTGTGGGCAGGGAGAGCCCGACACTTTGAACATTGCTGCCTGGTTATTCTGGTCTAAGGTGTGTGTGCGCGTGTGTTTCAGGTCCAGATGTGTTCCTGCAGAGGTGCTGCAGGCTGCAGAGGTTGGTCAGAGAGAAGGCTCTGGTTCAGGCCTTCAGCTCCGTGCTGCTCATACTTCTAGGTACTGCAGTACTCTAAATACTCTAAATACTGCCGTACCTGCAGCACTGACTCTGCTCACCTGTGTGTGTGTGTGTGTGTGTGTGTGTGTGTGTGTGTGTGTGTGTGCAGGTAACGGGAAAGTGATGGTGGAGGTGAAACAGACCCCTGATCAGTTTTTAGCTGATGACACTGAAGGAGTCCTGCAGGTAATCTCACCTGTTGACTGTGTGTTTGGGAGGGTAGGTATGGGGGGTTAATGCCTTTAATTAAACCCACACACGGGGTGTGTGTGTGTCAGGTGAACGAGTTTTCCTGGACAGAGGGTCCTGCTGATGAAGAGGAGGCTGACGATGCAGAGTGGGCTCTGACTGTGTCGTAGATCAGGACTGTGGGTGGGTGTGACGTGTTTCTGAGAGGAAAGCTTTCAGGTGTAGAAACAAAACAACGGCGCTCCCCGACGCGACGCTCCGGCTGTACGAGGACGGGAAAACTGATCCTGAGATCCAGAAGCTCATGGCACACACACAGCTGTGAAACAGCACCGATCAGCTGTGCGTGTTGCTCTCGTCCTCTCTGCAGCAGTGAATCATGATTTTCCACACAGCTGTTTAGCGTTCCCTCATTATTTATGTTTTGGTTTGAGGTTTTATTTTGAATCGCCAGGCTGGATTTTCTTGTTGTTGTTGTCGTTTCTTGTGTCAGTTTGATTCTTTTTAATAATTAGGATAAAAGATCTGTGAAATAAATAAAAGCACTGACTCAGTTTGTGGATGTCCATCAGAGAACTCTGACAATAACTCTTGTCATTGCATGGTCCTACATGACAGTCAACACAACACCACACAGTAACTTAACTAAACTTAATAACATAAAGAATAAGTGTATGTGTATTGCACACTGTTATTATTGCACCTTGTTATACATATGTCGTTATTGTTGTTAGACACAATAACATAAGTATCTACTCAAAAAGTGGGAATTTAAAGTGTTAACTGATTTGACAAAAATAACACATTTAATCGCACTTTGCTTTCCAAGCAAAGACAAAAGGGGACCACTGCATGATTTCCTGATAAACCAGTTATACTGATGCACACATCAGAGCTATGTTGCTAGGACTGATCAGAAAACGTTATCCCGACAGAAGTGGAGTTGTGCAGAAAGTGAGTTTGCATACCACCGAAGCACTTCAACCTTACGGTATCATCTGAATGCAAAACATGTTGCAGCAAGCACAGAAAATGTGGCAGCTGTTAGCAGCCTCAGCACCAACAAAAGGTGCTGGCAGTAGTGATGGGAATTCCGTCTCTTTTCAGAGAGCCGGCTCTTTCGGCTCCCAACTGGCACTTCAGGTTCTTTTGTTGCTTTAATTAATTTATTATCAAGAACAATAAAAAATATGTACAAAAGGAATTACTAATGTAAAAAAATCCTGGCTTTATCCATATATGTTTATTAGAGGTGCAACGATACACACAATTGACGGTTCGATATTTTTTCGATACAATTTAATTTCTCATTTATTAAAATTATAAATATATATTTTAACTCAAAAGTACAGTTTTTAAATTTAATGTTGCTGAAACAACAAAATAATAATAATAATAATAAATCTATCTGATGGAGAAATCACTCATCTTTGGAAAAGAAAGTTAATTACAGAGAAATGGCTCTTTCCAAAATAAAAGCTATACTAT